CTACTGATTTGTAACTTTTTTATTTTCTAAGGATGAAGTGGCTGTGTCACATCCTTAGTGTCCCTTGATGAATGTTCCCGTTACCACTAGCCCTGGATCAGACCGGTTCATAGGACTAGCGCTGAGCTGGTTCCACGCAGGAAGTGAACTGTGGAACCTTGGATTGGATAAGCTTCATTATATATCTGCACGTTTATCGACACCGTCTGTGTACGTGACCTGTTCTTGTTAATTGTTAAATTTTTGCCACAATCGAAGCAAAATGAATAGGCGTAATTTTTTTCTGAGTATAAAAACCTTTTGCTTCCAAATAGAAGTAGATGTATTATTATTTAAGGTTAAACGGCGGAGGTAATTGTGAAAACGTTAAGCAATATCTAATTGGCTATGTAATTACTGGGCGGGCATTTAATCTAATAAGTGCAATTTTCCGTTAAAAGTGTGTGTTTTCATGTATCAATCGCCTTTAAGATAAATTACCTATTCAGAATTGATGTGACATCGTTCTAATGCTAATTAAGTTATCGGATGTCCACCAATTGAAAAAAGGCAACTCGCAGTTAATTGATCAGTATTAGAAAAATCATTCATTCGTGTCATTCCACAAACTCGATTTCATTATTTTCTTGCAGGCTCAATCACGCTAATAGTTACTAAACGTGTCCAAGCAAGTAGGTATGATGAAAGAAAAAAAACGATCAAGAATATTGAACCAAGTTGAAAAACCGGGGGAAGTCAAGATTGCACGTCCGAACTTTCGCCTCATACCGTATTAGGTATTTTCGATTGAACGATCTTGTGCGAGATCCAATGACGAGTTTTTACTCGCAGTGACGATATTACATAGTCACCATCGAGAAATGGTATGCGCGCGATACGATCGCGATATGAATTGCAGTTTATTGAGGATGCTGTTGCTGTCAATGACGAAGTACTTAAGGCGGGCTCTCTTGTATGTTATTTATTTTGAAGCATTGAGTAATCTCTGATTGTGTAAAACGTTTGCTTTGATTGGAACGCGCCTTTTATTGTCTATCTATCGGGTTCATCGTTTTTCATCTTCGTCAAAAAAGATTTTCTCGAAACGTAGCCAGTATTACGTTTCCAGTATTGTTTCTTTTTGCCTACAAACTTTTTACTAAAAATACGATCAGCTTACCAGAAAATATTTAGCGCAATTTTTTGTTAAGATCGTCCGAGCTTTCTTATCACTTAACTAGCGCCTACCCGCGTATACGTTCGCGTAATTAGTTTTTTTTCAGAATCCCTCAGGAACCTCACATTTTTCTAGGATCAAAAGTACCCTTTGTTACAAAACTATAAGTTTGTTCACACATTTTATCGAAGCCGTTTTTCTGTGAATGAGTAACAAACGCAATCTTTCACATCCATACTAACATTTTAAATACAAAAGTTTGTCTGTCTAATACGTCTTCACGCTTGAACCGCTGAACCGATTTAGATGAAATTTTGTATTAAGGTATATAGTTTGAGTCTCGGGGAAGGACAGGATAGGTTTTATTCCAAAAAATCACTCTATAAGTGGGCAAAAAAGGGGTTGAAAGTTAGTAATTAATAACTTCAGATGCAGCCGGGACCAGTGGCTTCACGTGCCTTCCGAAGCACCGGGGAGCTGGTAGTATAAAATTTTGGGTCACCCATCCAATGATCGACCGAAATAAATCAGAGGTTTCAACGTGTAATACCTATTATTTTAGATAATAACACCTATAAAATTTGCCATTAATCTACCACGAACCAGTGAGAGATCAGTGCATGAGTTTGTTAAATAATCACCTCAAATTACACCTAATGGCTACCAACCATATGAGTTGGAATTCGGTTTGTGCGTGCCGTGCACCAAACCTTGGACCAATTGATAGCATACCTACTCTAATCTCTCGCGTGCGCCGCTGCAGTAATTTTTGAGTTACAGTTAGCAATGAGAAATTAAACTTAATAGCTTTCGGCGAGTAATAAACGTATGTACGACATTAGAGTAAACTTAGAGCGTAGTTGTATTTATAGCGATATGTTTAATAGATCATGGCGCGACAGGCATGGAAGTTGACGGCGCTCTGGTTTTTTTTAATGTTAAAAGAGTGGCAAACAAGCGTATGGCCCGCCTGATAATAAGCGGCCACCAAAGCCTATAGTAGCGATGCGCGACTTCGAATAATACTAATACTGGAGGAGTCGAATTATGACTCCACGAATCATTCGACTAAGTCGACTGCGCTTTATATCATTCGACTGGAGTCGAAGGTATCGGTCGCGCATCGCACGTAGCGACATTTGACATTTGTATTACTAAATTAGTAGTCGTTATTCGAATAATGACATTAGTATACTATTGATTTGCATTTCGAATAACCAAATTAGTCGAAAGGTAAAATCATTCGTAGTCGCGCATCGCTAGCCTATAGACGCTTGCGATACCAAAAATATCTCTCGCGCCGTTGCCTATCCTGACCCAATCCCTTACCCCGTGAAGCCCTGGAACCTTACCGACAGAAATACAACACCACCAAAAGGTAGTGTTATTTTACTATGGGCCTCTGTAAGATGGAGGTTACTTTCGCTCCAATTCGAGCGGAAACCCCGCTATGTATGTGACTCTTAATCTCTTTCGATTTTCCGTTTGTCTGTCTATCTAGCCATAGTGAGCGTAATTCGTACGGGGACATCATAATAAATATAATTTATTGTAAGTAAATAAAAAACCCAAATAAGTATTCGGTTTGACCTTCTAATATAAAAATTCTTGATACTCAATCACTATGTCTTCAAGGTTACCCGATTTTTGATATAGCTATTCTTATATTTATTGTTATTTTTATTTTGTGCCAATTAGGTAGATAGTTTATATATGTACTACCAAATCGAAGTGATACTGTTCTAAGACGAATTGGCGAATTATTTTACCGTGGACAGTGTCTCCCCATTCATAAGTATGTACTGCCTGATCATTACTTAACTTTTATAGAGGCATACTTGGACAAAACAGTAAATGGCCAATTCAAACTGATGCCTCTATTCATTCGTTGTATGGTCACACAAGTTATATTGTGTTTTACAATTTTATCTATTTAAAGACAATTTAGACTTGAAACTTGTGAGTTGACGCTTTTAAAGTTACGTATTGCGTAATTCGTAAAATGAACGTGTTTGTAAATTTCACAATTTTGTTGTTACCAAGTATCAAACTCTTAGGGGTGATTCTACCCATCAAAAGGAACAACTTTTGTTATGGGACCAACTCTGAAATCGCGAAAAGTAAATCAGCTGTTTCATACATTTTGGTCGATTAGCTCATGCACTTTTGTATGAAACTGCAGATTTTTTTTTCGCAATTTCAGCGTTGGTCCCATAATAAAAGTTGTTCCTGTTGTTGGGTTGAATCACCCGCTAAGAGGTTGTGGTGTTTTAAAATTAACCCTGTATATTATCTAGCTTCTTTGAATATGTTGAACAAAATTATTTATTGAACGACTCTGTCCTAATATAATACGCCTCCAAACTTCACACCAAAATATTGATTTATATCGTTTACAAAACATCCTAAAATAGCGCAATTTTCTAAAAAAATTATCATACCTATTATAGAAGGTACGTAGATGCTAAAAGTAGTTTTATTAGAATCAATTTATAGCAATTAAAATTTTAAGGTTTCATAATTTCACCCTTAACGAGAAAATGTAGACGTATATATTTTGAAAAAGAAAAATAGTTAAAGATTTTTTTTGTGGAATTATATTCTAAATCGTGGTCTTAGCTAGTAAAGTTTCTCAGATTCTCTACACGTTACGGTAGCATCAATCTTACGGCTTAAAGTAAAAAATACATAAGTAACAATGCGCAAGTAGTTTAACTTTCATGATCGCAGGCCGAACGCGCTAACCACTTGCGCCAACGAGATCCTCAAAAAAGGTATATGCATATTTGTAAATTTTTAAACTAAAATATCAAATTGAAAGTCACCTACTAAGTAGTATTTGTACCAAGTAGTTTAAAATTTTGTATTCCGCATTAGACACAACACACCTCAACGACAAACGTCACATTAGGCATTGGATGATATGTGTTACAAAGCACAAATAATTTAGTTAAGAAGCTTACAAGTTTAAAATATGCTCTCCCGATACTATGTATTATTCAAACTGCACTAAAAAGTTAGCATTATTTCATCCTAATTGTTCCCAGTGGCAACAATTTTGGATTTTGATAACCCATTTCTCACCACTGGCAACAATTGAAGTTTTAATGATCCATTTGTCACCATTGGCAACAAATGGTAGTTTTTTCTCATCTTTCCTCAGTGCTGATGACTAGGAACATCCGATTCTATGTTGTTGTTTAACTCCCATTCAAACATGAAAGAGTAGGGATTGTTTATCTTAACAAAAATATTAAATACTTCTTATCTGTCTAAACGCATAACCATGAAGGTTGTAAAATCATTTCCTTGTCGTTCGTATCATAGTAACGGTTCACATTTGTATGCATTAGCTGTTCGTAAGCTAAGTGGTCTTATCTAGGGCCATTGACCTGCGATAAAGTTGCCTGCATCTCAAATAAGGTAGGCCTATTTGCTTAACTGTGATATGTGCCTAGATATGTGAAACAACTTAATGAATTAAGAACAGTTGTAATATATAAATCAACATTATTTTATAAGGCTTTCTATCAATACGTCGATGATGAGAGATGACATGAGAGATGTTATCGCAATGATATCGATAACATTTTTTTTTAAATGAAAATTTTATTATTTTGCATTTTAAAGTTTATGTAGGTACTTGCCTATGGTTTTGCACTGCACGTTTTCATGAGCAACATATAAAATAAATTGTCACTAATACGATTGCCGGCTTTCACGAAAGCCACTCAAACTTTGCAATTAAAGGCTGAATGCTTTGGATTACAACGCTAACATAAGCCAGCAAGAGCTATTAAGTAACAAAATGTGCTTGCACTAATAATGTATTTTATTATTTCAGATATAACGTGAGAAAGCTGCTAAGGTGCTGTTAAGGTATGGATATAATAATACGTTCATTAACAACCAGTACCCTTAGCACGAACCATTATTGAATTCGAATAGTTTGCGAGTCGGAAATGTCATTGTCAAATTTTGTATGAAAACTTGAATATTAGCGCCATAACGTACGTAACGAGAACTAAAAATCAGTGCACATTTAACAATGACATTTTGTACAGGCAAACGGTACGAATTCGATATTATTCGTGATCGTGCTAAGGGAACTGTAGTCCGGTTTAAACGTTTTGAGAGCAAAAGTAAACAAAGGCGTAGGTACGCCTGATTAGTAATGGGAATTCGTAGAGCTATAAAAAAGTAAATATCATATCAATTGAATGGATAGTTCCTTAAAAATTGATCTAAATCTACGACAAACATCCATATACACTCACACTACTGCTATGTCTTGTACTATTATGTATTCTGTGACGTGTCCTTAGGCCCGAGGACGAAATTTGACAGCTCCATAATCGTATCTCATCGTCCAAGTTTATATGAAAACTAAGCAGCTCTTACAATAAATTAAGTAAAACTATTCATACACAGTGAATTTTGTGTTATATGAGACACTTAATTTTTTTTTAAATTAAAATAGTGAGAACAGCTATAAACAATAAACTACTACCCCTACACAAAAATATTGATTTTTATCGTTTAAAATGTGCAAATTGTGCAAAACTTTAAATTGTGCAAATTTGTAAATGACATACGTATTTTTTTTATCATTACGTACGTAATTAAGGAATTAAGTATAATCCGTTTAAAGTAGATAGATCCTGAAATTAGTTTTATGCGAATCAATTTATGACAGCAAAAATTGTTAAGGTGCCATAATTGCACAATTGTTGAGTTGACGTGTGTTTTCGAAACAGAATATCAAAGAAACTTGTTTTGTGTATTATAACCTAAATCGTTGTCTGAATTTTCTAGTAAAATTTCTCAGGTAATTCTCAAAATTCACCATACCTATTCACTGTGTACGTAATTGTTAAAAGTCATAAAGGCTATATAGTCTTTTTGGCTATTAACAATTATAGAAGTCGTAATATTAATGTTTGCTATTACTTGTTTGACGTTAAGATCATTAATGTTTACCCTGGTTTCCTTCATATGCTATTAAGAGTACAGTCGCTTGTAATGCGTCTAGAATCGAGCGAAAGGTTGATAATTATATAAATTACTGGCCTACAATGTATAACAAGATTGGCTAATGTAGCCTGGACATACACTACCGATGATGAGCGATAACTATGCTATTTAAAGTATAATATAACGAGAATTTAAATAATTATTAACTAACCGCGATGATGTACTCAAGTGCTTGTTAATACAAGTAATATAGGTACATAGATACAGGTACCATACTTGATCTGTTATGGGGTACATAATAAATGTAGAACTATTAGCCACAACTATACTAAAAAAAGTGTATATTTAAGATGGTATGATTAAGTAGTTTTACTTTCTTTATAATAGCAATTAAATAAAATAACATGGCTTTTTCTATGCAATAAATTTTACTGAGTGCAGGAGCAGCTTAGGTGCACTGCTAGTTCTTTTAGAAATCATTCTGTAAATTGTACATTAACTGCAATATTTCAAAGATATATTATTCTATATTTTAAACTAAACTAATTTCTACTCTCTGGTTTTATTTATTTTTTAATTCAACTTGGCGGAATGCACAATCTAAACTTATTTTTATGTAACACTGCTCATTTACATCTTCATTTGTTACATTGTCATTTTTGTAATAGCCATCTCATTTATTGTATTTTATTTTAATATAAATAATTTCTTGTTTATTTATCACATTGCTAATATTACAATACATTTTATACACTTGTCTTCTATACTATTTGTCTTCATATTCATCTAATTTATTAAAGTAAACGCCAGTATCAAGTATACGCCATGAACTTTAAATTCATAACAAAAAACTTCAAAGCTATTATCATTATTTATCGCTTTTACTGTGACATTAGCCTTACTAAGGAAAGGGGTCTCAGTGAGTGTTTCGTATCCGACATTTGATGACGCGTCATGCCGCGACTTCCTTAGGAAGTTGCATCATACCACTTAACATTTAGGCTCGTTTCACACGTACCACAACTACAACACAAAAACAAAACGTGGGCGGGCGTTAATTTCTATTAAAATGAATACTTAGTTGAATTCACGCCGACCACGTTTTACCATCACTATCGACCGCTAGTGTGATACCGAACACACTGCAGCCACGTCGCAACCACCAGCGACACCATAAACTAGCGGCCGGTCACATCGCAAAGACAAAGTTAAGTCGAATAGACTATTTGACAGTATTAAAAATAATGTACCAATTATTGGCATCTGCATTTGAAGAGTGTCCGTTCAAAACTAGCTATTTACATCGGAATGAAATTTACAGAAAATGCCAAAAACGAATAATTATAAACGCCGAATATATTGAATAATTCTGTGTGGTACGCTTTACAAGATATAGTTGTCAAATCATCTTTATGAACATTTTTTTTTAATACTTTGTTTATTATACTTTTAAAAATTAAGAAGTTTGTAAATATACACTTTTGTTGCAAATGGTAGTAAATAGGCACTTTAGTTTTGGATCATTTGGTAAATAACTAGTTTGATAAAAAAATATTTGTGAATATCTATTTTTGATGAGAAATGTTTTTGTATACATAATAGACAGCACTAAGAATACGGTTAACTTTCTTTCTTGTTGACTTTGGCACATAGTTTCCTCTTCGTTGTGGTTCGTGAGGAATGTGTAGCCGAGTCAAGGTTTTTTTTTAATTTTGTTCGTAGACTTATATAGAAGTTTTCTATTTAGTAGCACTTGGTCAATAGTAACAGATGAGCATTTGAATTTACTGTTGCTTTTGTGATTGCAAGGTCTCCGAAAATTAACACCCGAAGGATCTTTATCGACGTATACTTTACGTTTGGAATTTTTGTCTACAACACGCCTCTTGCGACTTAGCGAATATCTTTTTCCATTCTTCTAATGATAAATTATAAAAGGTTATCATAAAAATCTACACTTGAGCGGCTACCAATACAACATCGAACAACGCTACAACGTCAAAACAAAAGATTCTTATGATAAGTAAACACAGGAACTCTTTCGTTCAACATCTCAATCAATTCAACTAAAGAATAAAGTAAATAGAACATTATGATTAGAAACTCTATAATCGTAAAATAAAATATAATTAAATTATGTAAATAGAAAGTTTTGAGCAAAATTCATATTTTGATTTTGAACCCATAAATAACAACTTTTGATTAAATTTATAAACGAAATCAATAAAAAAGTCGTCATCAATTAATAAAAAAGTCTAAAAAGGTCACGTGACCAAAAACGCCAAGATTGGCCAAGACTAAAATTACGTCACACGCTAGTAAACTTCCGACCAATTCAATTTTTATATGATTTTATTTATTTTTTAAGCATTTAACTGCTAGATGTTTAAATCTAAAGAAAAGTTTACTAGAAAAAAATCCACGCGGACCAGGCAGCGGACGGGACTCGAACCCGCATCCTTCGCTATCCGGGCGAATGCACTGACCATTATGCTACCACGGCCCTATTAGCCGGGTCGAAATTTTCCTAGCTGCAAGGCAGCGCCATCTCTTCGCATTAATTTTTAACCAAAAAGGTAACCCACAATAATTTTTTTTTACTTAATTACATAGTAGAATTAAAAATATCCACTTTTTATGGATACCATAAACATTAGTTAACAACGTGAGATCGTTTTCTAAAACTTGTCAAATACCCTATTGTCTGTTTGTGTACGCTTAGCAACTACAGCAACCACTAGCGATATTGCGATGACATCCTCACGTAACCACAGCTTGACCATCTTTTGTCGCGAGGCGATTTGATGTGGTTGTGGTACGTGTGAAACAAGCCTTACGCTTATTTGCTGCTACTCGGTCAAAACACTATCGCTCATATCGACAAATGAAATGCGAGTATGTTATTTTAATTTGCATTTGATTTATCTTTTCACCTAAACATCTAATAAATTTAGGTCATATCCTGGCAAAGCAATTATTTTATGAAGGTTAAACATATTATGACATTTAAGTTTAGACAGTCATTTAATGTTATTATAGCGATCCTGCCTTCTCGTTAGATCACTAATATTTGTTGTATATAAGTATGTTGAAGTGAAAACTTCTTTAGCGGCGTTGCACACTTTTTTTGTAATGGGTAAAAAATGTTAACCTCGCGTCAGGACACGTGACCTGATCGAAAATTCGTAAGACGGATGGTGAGTAGACAGCCAGCGCGGCGTAGGAGAGGAAGTATACCCCTCTCTTTCTACGACGCGGGTAAATGTATGCCTGTGCATTCTGTTTCGTTTAGGCGGCGCAAGGCGCTTGCGCGAATTTTCGTGTGTGTTTATGTTACGTGCCACGCGCATCCATAGATGGTGACAGCTGATGGCTCGACCGTCTGTGTAGTGGCCACACTGCTGTGTATTCGTAAAATTCGTGTATATAAAGTGTTACTGATAATTAAAGCAATTCGTGCAAAATTATTCCCTAACCATTCCAAAATATCAAAAATGCACAACGTTAATATTCAAGTTTTCACTTCTGCCGGCACTCCCGGAGTGCAACTCGTCGTTTTTTTCTATGTAGGTAAGTAATAAAACAACATGATTTAGTTTCCATTCTAGCTAGCATAGCTCTGCTGACTTTGGGAGTAAAATATTCTAGTGACTAGAATTATTCAAGTGAAACTTTTATAACATCGCCACAATTTTTTTCGTTCATCTTTAGTAACATGCTTAAGATGAATATTTTACATTTTTCATTGTTGTTAAAAAATTTAGATACTATCAACAAGTATTGGTGGTTCAGTAGTAGAAAGCGGCCCGTGTTCGATTCTCAGCCACGGAAGTGTCTTTTTTTATTTTCAACTTCTTAAAAGCTAAAGTAACATCAACTAAGTTTATGTTAATACTAAAAATTTT